TGCTGGGGGAAAGTCCAGTTGATGCGGGCACAGCCCTCCACCTAAGACACATCACAGAGCTCCTGCATGGCAGGGGCGGGTGGGCAGAGAGCTGCCGGAGTAAGGAGTTCAGAGCTCTCCTGCAGAGCTGGAAGTAGGTGCACGCTTGAGAGAAGTTTGGTAGAATAAAGAGAATAGCGTAAGAGGGATGGGAAAGAGAGAGGAGAAGTGGGAAGCCAGGTGAGGAGCAGTACCGTGTGTCTGGATACACACCGCCACTATCCCAGGCACCCAAACCCTACCTAACCGCAAACCCGAATGCCACAGAACTGGTGTAAGCAGCCCTGCTCTGCCGCCTGCCACACACACACACACACACACACACACCATCACCCTGTGTGTTTCCTGCCTTTCCATGCCTCAGGCTGTCCAGCACAGAACTCTGCCCAAGGCCTCCTCCCTAGAGGCCCCATAGTCCTTCCTGTGTTCCCGACCTGTGAAATCCTGACCAAGAAAAGCACTGCAATTGCTCTCACACCCACCTCCTGCTTCCCTACAGGTGTGCACGTTAGTTCCATCAGGCCTTGGGCAAGGATGGCTGCTCAGGCTAGGGCAAGTGCCTGGGATCACACAACCACTTGTTACTCTTCTCTAAATGAACAGATTCTTCAATGTCCCTGTGTGGGTGACCATCTCTGAACCTCCTATCTTGCTATGTCTTTGTCTAGCCCCCCGCCCCCCGCCTCACCCACCTGCCCACCCGCCAAGATATTTCTGGCCTACTGGTTACAGGCCATGACTGAGGAATTCAGTTACTATCTGACAGAAGACCAGCTCTGTCCCATCAAGAGCTGAATGCTACAGAACCAGCTTGATGCAAACAGCTGGGAAAGCCGGTTCTGGGTCAGCGCCTCACCCGCCCCCCCAGCTCCTGCCCTGTGGCCCAATCTGCAGATAAAGACACCAGAACTTTAAAAAGTTGTTCAACTATCACACAGCTAATCATGCAATCAAAAGGACTTGGCCCAGTCTTGCCAGCTTCTGCCCTCCTGTGACACCTTCTGGTGTCACCGAATATTTTTACTTCTTGTTCAGAGGTGACCAAATCCCATACAAGAAATCAAAGTCCCTGAAGGACTTAAGACCCTCTCGATCTGTTCCTCATGGCTAGTTACAGTACTTACCCCTCTGTAACTACCTTCTCTACTACATGGAACTCTGTGGGGAGAGGGACCCTGGGTCCCAGACCCATTGATTCAGACTATTTTTCCTGTTTTCTTCGGGTCATCAGATGTAGCTTGAGCTTGTCTTCTAGACCTTGATCAGGCCACAACGTCCCTCCAGATCCCTCCCCAGCCCTATGTTGTGGCTGGGGACCCAGCCTCCCTACAGGATCAGCTACTTTGTAAGATCTGGGGCGAGTGCTGGAGCAAAGTTCTCTGTTCAAGCCCTGAAACTAAGTCAACAGCTCCTGGGGCAGCAGCTGCTCTTAGGGAAGGGGCCAGCTGTGTTCTGCAGGACTTCACACAGCGCCACCTACTGGGAAGAGAAGAATGGGATGCTTGGACCTATGCTGGGATTCTCAAAGGGGCATCTAGGAACTTTATAAAATATCCCTGCCTGGGTTCACTCCCAAGGGTGCTGATTGGCCTGGGTTCCAGCCCTGGTTTTTTCATGGCTACCCAGGTGATTATGCAGCCACAACTCTGAGGACATGGAGAAAACTTGGAGACTTTTCTGGATGAGCCTTGTCCATGGTGTACCAGCAGACTGCAGTCCTGCCTAAATGCATTATTTTATGTGTTAAATGATTCTTTTCATCCGATTCTGAGTGGCTTTTTGTGCTCCAACAGATTAACTGTCCCAGGCCAGTCTGAGCCTTTCCTTCTGAGGGTCCCAGATATGGGTGCTCAGGTTACTCCCTGGTTTGGGAAAGAGTCGGGGCTCAGAGTCAACCTGCCTAATAGAAAATGTATGCCCATTTCCATACAGAGATTGTACCAATTAAACACTCTTCCCAGCTTTTTGATGGCATTTTAACTCACCATAGACACATTGTTCCAAATCTCTCCTTGGCAGTATCCTATGCCTTTACATAGTTTGTTTTGAAGGAAGGGAGGGAAGGAGGGAGGGAGAGAGATGGAGGGAGGGAGGGAGGGAGGGAGAGAGAGAGAGAGAGAGAGAGAGAGAGAGAGAGTAGTTACTTCTCAGTTAATGCACTGTGTTTATTAGGCGAAGACCTCAAAATGCAAGATCCTTGGAAGAAAGTAACTAAAGGGATCTTCAGTAGTTTTAGACAGAAACCACCAACCTAATGAGGCTCCCTCAACCTGAAAGACAAAGAACAGAGGACCAAGGAGATTAAAGGACCATCTCCCAGCGAATCAAAGTTGAGACCCTCACTCCAGCTTTCTAGGCAAGACAGTTAGTTATATAAGGGAATTATGGGAGCAACAGTTTACTCAAAATTCCCAGTGGTCATGGAATCTGACCAACAGGGGTACCCATTAGTCAGTCAGTCACCTCTGCTGTCCGGTTCCATCTACCCAGACTCAGAAAACCCTTTGTTCATATAGAAGCTGCGTTCATAGGTGACCTCCATCCAAGGACTCTAAAAGTCTATTGTGTCCTGGGATTCCTGACTCTGAGCATCATTTGTGGGCTGTTGTTGTGTTTGTTTTCTCCAATAAGAAAACATGCTACCCAGTATGGTGTAAGGAGCCATACATCCAAAGATACACCCTAAGTTTAAAGAGGTGAAAACGTAAGAGGGAAATGGCGCATCCCATGATGGAGGGGATGTTAGCCTCGCCGGTGCCACTTAGCAGCGCAGCTGCGGTCCTATGCCGCGCCCTTACACCGGCTTCTCTCTTGGAGCTACCAGTGAAGACAAGAGTGCTTGAAGGAATCATCCATTTGAACAGCCGAAGCGGAGGAGCTGGCACACCCACTCCATGGGATTCAAGGACAGTCCTGCCTCTGTCCTCAAAAGACCTGGCCCTGAATCCGTTCTGAAACTGATGGGGTCACCCTGGGCACACTGCTGTCCTCTGCAGGCCTCAGTTTCCTTCCTCATCTGCTATGCAGAGATGATAATACCCTTCCCTGACCTCCCAGGATGGTTGGAATATTTAGACAAGAAATTGTCAGGGTGCATGCCAAATATATGATTCATGTTCCCCGTGTGTGTTAATTGCTAAGAAGAACCACAAGCATTGCTCCACTGCGGTCTGTGACTGTGCAGAACAGAGAGTGGGGAGGTGACCACGGAGTCACTGCGGTACAGATGGAGAACCTTTTACAGGGATGAGCATCCCAGGTGTGGGCAGAGATGGAGTGGGGCAGGAGCAGGCTCCTCTAGCTTTGACCACACTAAGACCGCTAAGGAAGCCTCCACTACCCGTCTGGAGACCTGGAGACTAGGCCAGGGAGAAGTTGACCTTCCCAGGATCAGGTGGCAGAACTGTTCAGAAGTTCCTGAGTCCTGGGAAAACAGTCTTCCTATTCCATATAGGAGTACACATGTGGTATCTAAATGCATTCTTTTTTCTGTTTTAAATTTTTTATTTCATTTCACATTCCAACCACATTTCTCCCTCCCAACCCTCCTCCCACCCCCCCTCACCTCCCCCCTAGGCCACCCCCAGTCCACTCCTCCTCACAAGTAAGGGCTCCCATGAGGAGTCAACATTATCTGATACAATAGGTTAGGGCAGGGCCCAACCCCTCTGCCATGAATTAAGGCTGAGCATAGCTTCCCACCATGGAAAGTGAGCTCCAACAAGCTAGTTCATGTACCAGGTTTGTATTGTGGTCCTACTGCCAGGGGCCCCTCAGATAGTCCAAGCTTCACAATTGTCTCCCACATATGGAGGGCCTAGTTCAGTCCCCTGGAGTCTCCACAGTTATAGGTCTGGAGTCCATGAGTTTCCTTGAGCTTGGTTCAGCTGTCTCTGTAGATTTCTCCATCATGATCTTGACCTCCCTTGCTCATATGTCTCCTCCTTCCTCTCTTTGACTGGATTCCGGGAGCTGGGCCTGGTTCTTGGTTGTGGATCTCTGCGTCTGGTTCCATCGATTACTAGATGAGGGCTCCATGATGATAGTTGGGGTATTCGTTGATCTGATTACAGGGTATTCCAGTTGCAATGAAAGAGATATCTTAATAGAGAGGGCCACTATGGACGTAGGAAAAAACCTGATGCTAGGGTAACTCCCAAGAATCCACTAGAAGGACCCCAGCTAAGAGTCCTGGCAACAGTAGAGAAGATATACTCTTAAGCAACACACCCACCAAAATGGTTCTTTGGTCTCATAATCCCTGGAGGCTGACCTCCTGGCCTCGCTCCATGACACTCTTCCCCAGAAGCGGCACTCAGACCAGCAAGTGAGCAGGGTCCTATCTGGTCCCATCTCAGGACCAAGCCAGTATATACTAGTTTGCAAAGGAGGAAACTCAGCTCCCTCCCAATCCTGTGCAGGAGTGTGGGAACACGGGCACCTTCCAGGGAGCAGGCACTATGGACACATTCTAGCTCTCCATCCCTCTGTCCCTCCTAGAAACAAGACCTCAGGCAGGGCACCTTTCCACGGTGAGCCTGTTTCTTCACCAACTGTTCAAATGTGCACATGCAGCATGAAAGGCCCTCTGGGAAATCTGGGACAGACCAAGGAGCAATCTGGAAAAGAGAGCACCACCAAGGAGCACTCTTGGAGAGAGAGCTCCCAGAGTGGCACGGGGAAGGCAAAGGGTCTTTACCCATGGTCAGCAAGAAGCATATATTTGGGCTCAGACTTAGATTCAGAATCTCTCCACATCTGGTGTGTGTGTGTGGCCTGAAGCCACGGAGCACCTGAAGCCCCCATTTGCTCCTTTATAAACTAAAGGAGAAATTCTTCCTTTAGGCCCTCTGGAAGACTAATTGGCAAGGTGCCTGAGAAGGGTCTGGTGCCCAGTGGGCACTAACAGGCGGCAGCTGGCAGAGCCTCAGGTGCCACCCAATGTCCCCGTGTCTCTGCAGGTAGGCGGGGCAGCTGTCATGGCTGTGGGCATCTGGACACTGGTGGAGAAGAGCGGTTACCTCAGCATCTTGGCTTCCAGCACATTCCCTGCCTCTGCCTACATCCTCATCTTTGCTGGTGCTCTTGTCGTGACAACTGGCTTCCTAGGCTTCGGGGCCATCATCCGGGAGCAGAAAGGCTGTCTCTCCATGGTGAGTGTTCCTCTGTCCCTCTCCACAGTGAGTATTCTTCCATGGAGAGTGAGTGTAGGCCTGTGCTGTGTGGTGGCCAGGAAGCATCACACGTGCCCCCCAGGTTGCGCTTACCAGACTAAGCAGGGCACTGAGGAGACTGGGGAGCCAGAGCAGGGTGGCTGCTATGGAGACCGTGGTGGCTACGCTCTCCGGGTATGTAGGACCTGAGCCAGGTCGGTCCTAGCAATCACCATGGCAGTTTCTCGGGTCTTGCTTCCTCCTCCTCTTCTTCTTCCTCCCCTTCTCCTTCTCTTTTCTCTTTTCCTATTTCTCTTCATCCCTTTCACTCCTCGTCTTCCTCCTCAAATCGTCTTCCCTATCTCCTCTTCCTTCTTCTGCCCCTCCTTCCTCCTCCATCTTGCCCTTCTCCCCCCTTAACTCCCCCTTCCCTTCCATGCATCCTCATCTCTTCCTCCTTCCCCTTCTAGACTTTAGCAGGCAGTTTTCACAGACGTGCCAAAATGACCCTCTATGTCTCATCACCCAGAGTTCGCCAGTGTCCTCTCATGGTCACTCATCTGGTGCACACCCTCCCCTATGTCCTGCGCCCTGTGAGGCAGCACCAGACAGTGTGTCGTCTGTGTTTCAGCATGTCTCCTGAGCCTAAGGCTCCTTTGACACAGCTTAAAACAGTTAATATTCAGTCCTAATATCGTGAAATAATGAGGTAGCTTCTGATTTCCCCCAACTGACCCATGAAGTGGTTTTTCTTTTTAAGTTTGTTTAATTAGGCCCATGTGCAGATCTGTTTCTGAAGTCTACCTCTGCATTTGTTGAAAAGTCCAATGCTTCATTCTATAAATTTCTTTTTTTTTCTATGTCCTTGTGTTATTTAACATTCACTCCTAGCAGTTCCATGGAAAGGCCTGATCAGACTTAACTGATTTAACCGTCTGTAAAGAGTATTTCATGGCTGGCATTTGTAGGCACCATGGGCTCCATGATGCTTCTTCTTGAGGGTCTGGGGGATACCCATAGCAGCTACTCAGGGTCAGGAAAGAGTCCACAGAGAACCCAGCAGGGACCCTGAGGCTGAGACCATCTCGGGGCCCCATACACCCAGTACCCTTTGTTGTAGCTGACGCCCCATATCTAGAGGCCTCTCTGTACGCACCTCAGGGGAACAAGTCTAGTGTTCAAGAAAAGAAACAGAAGACCGAAAAGTGCCCAGACTTTTGAGGAAACTTAAGCTACAAAATAGATCCAAATTTCAAAGAGAAACCAGGCTGGGCCTGAAAGGAAGCAGGCGACGGGCAGAAGCCCCACAGGGCTCTTGAGCTCCCTCTATCCACCCTGCACCCCACCTTCCAATACCACCACAGACTGTGCCACTGCTCGGCCTTGTATGCATCCTAAGGAGTGGGAGGCAGGGGCTGCAGTGAGGAGCCTGAGGCCTGGCCCCTGCAGCAGCTCTCAAAGCAGCGACCTAGTTTTTGGCCTGGATATAAAAGCTGCTCTGTGCAGGCCCAGCTGGATGGTGTTCCCATTTTGAAGAACTCCTTCATTTTGCTTGGAGGGAGAGCCTGCAGCCAGGGTGCTGGCAGGGTACATGGTGATATGCAGGGTAAAGTTCCATGGGGGACCAACCTTCAGGGTACACACTGAGTTTCTTTCCAGCAGTGGAGCAGAGGTGCTGGGAGACAGCCACAGCCTGCCTGGCTGTCCCTCATGTGGCCTGGCAAGAGCAAGGTCATCTCTTGAAGTCCATAGGAATGGGACTTGTGAAGCCCCCGCCCTCCACACACCCCACCCTCCACACACTCACCTAGAGCCAGGGGTTGCTCAAGTGCCTTATACAGAATGGTGCAGTCTCCACATACAGGCTATACCCACACTCCATCTCTTTAAAGTCATCTTTAGCTACTCATAATCCCAAATACCATGCAAATGCCACTTAAATAATCGTGTCTTCTTGTGAAGGGCTAATGGTGACATTCTGTACACGCAAAGTGCAGACACACCATAGCAGGCCAGAGTCCCTCACATGCCACCCAAAGCTGGTTGAGCCCATGGATATAGAGGGTCAACTCTGTCTCCAGTAGATGACGAAGAGTCGGCCACCTAAGGTCTCTGAGAGTCTTTGGCATGCCCCAGATCTGACCATTCAGCTAGAGGAAGATACTGGTGATAGCTAAGAACTCAAGCAGAGAGCTGTCCTGTGCTTCACTGACCAGACCTCATGGGGACAGAGTCTCATGGCCAGAGAAAGACCTCTTTCCTTTGCAGACTCAGTTCCTGGGTCTGTGTCCTGCTGGGATCTACGAGGCCTGAGGGCCTGGGTGAGCTTTTGCCCTGGCCGCTAGGACCTACCTCAGGAATGCAAGCTATTGAGACCTGTGCCTCCTTCCTTCCTACTGTGGACTCTGCCTTACAGGGCATCTCAGGGAACAAGAAACAAAGGAGAAGCCTTCTGTGGGGGAGCCCAGGGCTCCCTCTTGACAGGCACGGTCCCTTGAGGACCCAGCTTCTGACTCAGCCATCCATCTCGGGGGTGAGGTGTCCCCAGCAGCCTTGGGAAGCAGCCTCTGCTGACTAGGCACAGCCTGCTGACGACACAGATGGCCACTGTTCACTGAGCACCGCCTGCTGCTCCTCACACTCCACCAACCCTGCGAAGGCACTGCCATCTGCACTGTTCCCAACGCCGGTGCATGCTAACTCACTCAGGCCTCACTTGCCCACGGAGCTGCTCAGACTCCTGATGTGCACTTGACAGGAGCTGGGGAGCGGGGACAGGTGAAGTGACCTGCCTGGTGAGGGCTCACTGGGAGGAGCATGAAAGGAACAGGCTCAGCCATACAGGTAGGAGGCAGGAAGCAATCCGCCTTTCAGGGAGGGGAGAGACCAGAGGGATACTGCTGGTGCCTTCGAATGTCAGCAGGTCAGAGCTGGGGGAGGTTGGGAAGTATGGTAGGGCCTAGTCTTCTCTGTCTGATTCTCCTGGTCAGTATTTACAGGGTGCTCACAACTGGGGGGTTAAAGCAGTGGAAAACTACAATGCACACCTATAGGCAGGAACAAATGGTCCATCTCCTGTATGCAGACCTGGTCCATCTCCTGAACTCTGACCTGGTGTGCCTCCTGAACTCTGACCTGGTCCATCTCCTGTACTCTGATTGGTCCATCTCCTGAACTCTGACTGGTCCATCTCCTGAACTCTGACCTGGTACACCTCCTATCCCCAGAAAGGCAAAAGTTACTCTTCTTTACAGCTGAGGAGCTAGGTCTGGAGATGTGGAGTGTCAGTGAACCCAGCATGCCGGACTCCCCTCTACTTCTCCCAAGCTTGATGGTTCTACAGTCAGGTCTAGAATCTGCCCAGAAAGCTGAATAGAAGTGCATAGTCTCCAGATATGCTCTCAGATTAGAGATACGAGATGGGTCAGGCTGTCTGTCCATCTATGACTGTGTGTGTGTGTGTGTGTGTGTGTGTGTGTGTGTGTGTGTGTGTATACATGCATGCGC